ACAGTCTGCAGAATCCCCTCACTAATTACACTGTACATGATAATCTACCTTAACCAAAATCAAAGTAGACTATCACTCACCCACACCAGATGGAAAACTCTACAGACTGTCGGTTCACACCCCATCACAAGCCAGCAAAACATATATATATATATAGCAGGTATCTTTCAAGTTTCCACATTCCAGCTGAAGATTCCCATTTGCTCATTTTCCTCATTTGCTCAGTGGTCGCGTGAGGGCCTTAGCCATGTTGTTCTTGTATTCAGACACTCCTATGCACAACAAGAGACACAAAAGAATATCACCGTGTTTCTTCCCAGGCTAAACATCAATATAATATCACGATCACGGACGGCATTATTCGGCCGTGTACGCATATTTGCAAAAAGAGCTCTCTTACATACCCCCAGTCAAAATCGATATCAGTTCTTTTTTCTTATTTTTAATATTTTGAATCTAGGCTACCAGAGTGGCCAGGGGTCACTTGCCCGGCCGGGCCAAAACATTAAAAAATATATATATATATATATTTTTAAAAATTATTTTTCATTTTGAATTTAGTGAAGAATTTTGATGTGACCCTGAGGCAAAAGTTGTTCAGTTTTTTTTTCTGCATAACATAATTTTCTTTTCCGGATTTTTCGGTTCTTTTTTTTTTTCTTTTTTTTCTTTTTTTTGCTGGAACCTTCCCTGGTCCTTGCATGGGATGGCCACACGGGACCCGGGCGGCCCGGCTGGTAGCCTAGTTTTGAATAATATTTTCTTTCAATTATTTTATCTTGACCATTTCTTGATTTGTGCGCGTCATCCTTACAGAGGGGCGAAGATAATCTGGAATGTATGGCTCCCATTTTAATTTATCAACGTATGTCCCAAAGGACAAAACGTCAACACTGTAGCTAGGAGTGCATCTCACGAGTCGATCACCCAAGAATCGAACGCTCGACCTCTCCCTCTTGGGAGGCAAACACTCAACCAAATGGCTAAAAGTGGACTGGGGGCCAAAAAAGTCTTGAGCCCCAAGATGAGCACTTAACCCCACCCCAGCACGGATTTCTCAAACGCTTCTCAGCTGCACAGGAGGAGGCAGGAGGACGGAGGAGAATCAGGTTCACTAATCTACTAAGATACTGACTCACAGGCGCTGAAACTGTGTTTTTTTTTTTTTTTTTTATTCACAAATTTACAGGTTTTTTTTTTTTTTTTCTCTGGTGCTGAAACTGTTATTTAACTTATCTTGGTATATTCTCTCTGATGGACTAATGCATTCACACTCCGATTATTCACACTCGTCTTGCATGCAAACAGCGATACGGCAACTGGCGACATGCGCCCTGACAGTACTTACGATATCGTAACCAGATATGAGTTCTCTTCAACTGGCTATGGCGACTGGGCGTCCACACAACTCACTGTTCGCACTCTGGATCACCCTGGMTGTCCCACACGCAACACTCMGTATCATACGCAACACACAMACACGCTATGCTACAGCTACGGCAGCGCTAGCTGCCACTACCTATCGCTACACTACACTTCTCTGCCCACTTCGTCTTCGGGCACGCTGCAGACCTCCTCGCACAAGCTGCTAAGGCAGCGCTTCCGCATGGCATCCGAATCATCCATGGCTGGACGCAGCCTCTTGATTTATACTTCTGCGCTGCATTGGTCTGCCCTGTGTCCCTGGCCCATGGTGCACACAGTCCCCCCCCGTGGTACTTGCTGGACCGGACTGGTACTTTCTAGACTCTCCCTTGACTGTATGACGACGACCCTACGACGCAGTGCAGTTGCACTGGGGTCCTACTATTTGACCTTGCCACTTGTCCTCGTCTCCAACATGGGCTTGCTTTAGTCACACCACTTGCACACTTGCCAACCTTAAGGACTGCAGCTAGCCTTCTAATCTACAGGGCTACAGATCGAATCCTGGCTACCTATAGACCTACCTACCACTGGCGGTTCTACAGGTCGCGGGTTCAACTCTTCGAGTTGACGCAGGTATTGTACACAGGTAAGTTGGGGAACCAGGGATCGAGCCCTGGGACCTCCATCAGCTACCACGAATTGGTGAATACCGTTTCACTCCCGCCGGCCTAAATTTGAGGTCCTCCGAGAACATTTCAGTCCAAGGCAGGACCTTTATCCTTCTGCTGTCTCTCGTAGGCTCGGACTATGTCGGGAGCTGTCTCTAGAAGTTYAGATCTTGTAAACCAGCGGTCGTCTTCCGGTTCYTGATAACTAAAATGAACTTTGTACTGTTTCTGTGGACGATCCCTACCTCCAGTCCTGAATACATCTTCAGCCACTATGCCATCAATGTCATATCTTCCATCCATATCCCGTGGAATCATGGACCTACGGGATGGAAACTGATCACTTTGACACGGTAACAACTTTGATGCGTGGAAAACTGGATACGTGTGGAGGTGTGCTGAGAGTTCTATGGTATAGGACGGTCCATCTTCGCCACCCTTGACTTCTAGGACTGGCCACAGTCCTCTATAGGTGGGTAGTAACTTCTGCGAGATGTTCTCCTCAGGTGYAAACTCTTTAGAACTGACCCAGACTAAGACGCCCACTTGGAACTGCGAGGGGCGACGATGCTTATTGGCTTGCTCTATCATCCTGTGCTGGGCCTTTCTGAGGTTTTCTACTACAGTAGCTAGTTCTTCCTCGTGTTGCACAACAAACTCCCTGATCCCGGGTGGCAATCTGTGAATCTGATCTGGGCTAAGTCCTTCAAATGGTCTACGGGGCCTAAAGGACTTATGCAGTTCATTGGGAGTGCGGCAGGTGGACATGCACGCTGTTATTATATGCACTAGCTACCTTAGGTAACAGCTCGTCCCAGTTAATCTGATCTGGCCTAATGTACATGCGCAGTACTTGCTGTAGGATTTTGTTCATTTGCTCTGTCTGACCGTTAATCTCTGGATGACGGCCGGATGACATCAACAACTTATGGGATTCGTGTACTCCCATGAGTTCTTGCCAGTTCTGGCTAGTGAAGCGACTATCTCTATCGCTAACTATAGACAGTGGAATCCCATTCTCACTAACCCAACAGTCAAAAAATCTCTGTATTACTAAGTCGGTATGCGCCTTTGAAGGCAAAGGAACAAAAACTGCGTACTTGCTAAAGCGGTCAACTATGACCATGACTTGGCTCTTGCCATGTCTACTCTTGACTTGGGTATCCATGAAGTCGATGGACACTGAGTCTCCCGGTTGGTCCGGAATGGGCAAGGGGCTGAGAAGACCTAACGGGGCACGCGTAGAAGACTTGTTATGCTGGCAGACTTTACAACTGCGAACATCCTCTACGCAGTCATTCTTCATTCCCGGCCAGGTATACACGCGCATCAGATTGGCCAAGGTCTTTTGCCAATCGAAATGACCCTCTGTGTCGTGGCATTCCCCCAAAATTAAACTACAAATGTCTTTGCTATTGGGAATGCACAGGCGGTCAAATACATTAGTCTTCTCGAAGAGTAGCCCTTCAGTAGTGCGGTAGTTCGGCTCGGTCTCCGGGGCCTCCTTGACTCGCGTGAGGAGCTCACTATAGATAGGGCCCTGCGCATAGGCTTCTCTAACCTTCTGCTGCAGATCCTTTCCTATATCGAGGTAATGTACTATTGCCCCAAAGTAATCTGCTCTCCTACTCGAAGCATCCGCGACTACATTGTACTTCCCTTTAACAGGCTTGAGCTCGAAGTCGTACTGATCTATCTCTGCGGCCCACCTAGTAAGCTTAGGTGTCATTTTGGCCTGCGTCTTTAACCATCGTAATGTTTCATGGTCAGAATAGACTTTGAAGTGCCTCCCAAGCAAGTAGTGCTTCCAGTGGTCTAATGCTTGCCTGAGAGCGTAGAGTTCCCTCTCATAGGTAGATGTCGCAACCTTCTCTGAAGGCATTCTAGCGGACATGAACTCTACGGGTCTATASCCATTGCCATCGTCTTGCTGTAACACTGCGCCTATGCCGTACTGGCTAGCATCCGTAGTAACGACAAAAGGCAAGGACGGATCGACGACCTTAAGGACCGGGTACCCTATCAACGCCTGCTTTAGCTTCTTCATGGCAGACGTGCAATCCTTGTCCCACTTCCAGATTGTCTCTTTTCTTAGCAATCTGCGAAGGGGCGCAGCGGTGGTGGAGAAGTTCCTCACGAACTTCCTGTAGTAATTTGCTAAGCCCAGGAACGAGCGCAACTCTGTCAGCGTACGTGGCGTGGGCCAATCCCTAATCGCTGCGATCTTGCTATCTTCTGGCTTAATGCCGTCTCCATCTAAGACGTGGCCTAGATACAAAACTTGGGTCTTCGCCCAATCGCACTTCTTCGCATTGATCTTGAAGTTAGCTTCTCTCAACTTCTCCAAAACCTGCCTGAAATGACCCTGATGCTCGTCGAGGGTCTTACTAAACACTAGAATGTCA